CAAAACAGCCCTATGTCATAAAAGATTAAAGTATATTTTATAAAATCTAGTAATGCAGGAAAATGCACGGGACATTTAAGAAAAATATTAATAAAACACTATATATTACAAAATGGTATGTGAAGTACTCATATCCAATTATCTGGTAAAATTAAACTATCATTCTCCAAGGGTTCTGGATAGCTAGGTTTTTAACGTATCACTATATAACTATACTCAATGGGCAAACTGACCTATGGTCAACTGAACCACTATTCCTTTTGAAAACACATTTTAGAGCAAATAGCTGGAGTGAGGGAATCAGTGTTAAACTCTGAATATTCAGTGGCCTATGAACATGGGAAGAGGCACACATTGTTTCAACTGGTCCAGCAGGAATGTTTGCAGTGACACTGTCTTAGGCCAGACAAAACGGTTACTCTCAAAAATGTGACTTCCCCATCCTATGGGTTCCCTTAAGGTTTGCCTCCCTGCCACAGCCCAGTTGACAAGGGATGGTGTGGTTTGGAAATGTTCTCTGGGTTGCCCTCCAAGTAGAAAATGTTGGCATGCATTCTGACAATGCTGCTAAGGGCCCCAGAGAAGACAGTAGCACTGACCTTATTGATTTCATTTGGGACATGCGAACTTGTCTCCTTGAGCCTTGAGATTGAGCTGTGACACAGCCCGCCTATCACCGCCATCAGTGTATTGAAGTTCTGTAGTTGGTGGAGCTTCTGTGACACAGAAGACAGATGACAGCAGAGTCACTGTACATGTCAGTTACATGGAGAGCTTAGAGGCTGCCTCTCGTCTCTTTGCCGTTGAGTCTCCCTTCCACTGCTTGAAGACTAGTTATGAGGCATTGCAATTTCTTGTCCATTTCTTCCCTTCAGCTTAATTCAAATTGGTGGATTCCAATACTAGGAGGCATTACATCTCTCTCCCTTTCTTGTGGCTGATCTGTGGACCACCTTCTAGATCAGTGCTTTCTTAGAATCACCTAAAGTATCTGTTTAACACAGTGGTTTCTGGACCAAACCCAGACATTCTCATTACCTGAATCTGAATCTGGGGTTAGGCTTGGAGAGCTATATTTTAATATACCATTAGTTAGCATCAGAGCAGATGATCCAAAGTCAGAGCTGTTGACTTTGAGAAACACTGGTCTAGACCATCCAGAGTTGGAGAAAGATATTATTAAGTATAATCTTTTATTTATTTTATTCCACCTTTACCAGACTTTTATTTTTGAGGGTAAGGACATCGTCTTATTTTCCTATGCAATGCCAGTACGTATGTAGGACAGTAACTGGGACAGAGAAGCTAGAATCTCTGGGGAACTTCAAATATGGGTTCATAGTACCTGTTTTCCTCCTATAAAATGCTTCAGCTCTGCCCTTCAAACATTAAATGCAGCCATTCAGCATGGCATGGGCTCAGAGACCTAAGACAATCCAGGCTGGTCCAGCTCTGGCAAATCTTACAATTGCCCTTTCCTTTGCTATCTGGGCCAGACTCGGAAAAATAATGTAGGCTGGTAAGCATCTTTTGAAAAATGTGAAAGATCAAAACAGATCTACAACTGTACCTTAACCCCTGATATAGCCTATATGGCCCCCCTCCACATTTTCCTTGTAAGGAAGAATAGACAAGTCACCATATCAAGATCTGGTTGAAGGCACATAAACCACCCCACCCCCTGCCATGGTTCAGAAGGGAAAAAACAGCTCTAATTAATAGACTAAGCTGGAGGAAAAGTGGATAGAAAGTTGACCTCATAGCCCAAGCCAAAAGTTGTAAACTAGTTATTCACCTGAGCCACCTGGATGAACTTGATGAAGACTTCCGCTCGGAGCTGCGGGGTGGGGCGGCTGAGAACCATCAGTTGTACCCACTGGGAGATGCCATTGCACAGAGCAATAGATCGCTCCATCGTGGGGTTTTCTTTCACACAGCTGTTTACGAGGTAATTCTGATAATCAGAAAACTGAAGGAAAAGAAAAGAAAACAAACAAACAAACATCAGTACTGTACTCTGGTATTCCAGAAGATTTAAGGGGCAAGTCAGGTCTCAGTTGATGACTGGGAACTACAATGAGGCAGAGGAGCTCCTGGCCCTCTTCTGATCTTGGCCAAGAATGATGGGAGGAAAGTCTTTCTTCTTCTACCCACAGCGTGATCTCTACATTGAAAGTCATTAGGCATAAGTGGATGTGTAGACACATTACTTAATCCAAATACTGTATTTCAGTAGATCTTGTTACTAACTGTTCTAAATTCTAAAGAATACAGTACAGAATAAAGATCAGTTTTGCTGCTAAAGTTAAGGGAATAAAAGGTAATTCCCCTCACAAAAACAAATCTCTCTCTCCCCAGCTGCTTTCTTACCTTAAAAAATGTGATTGTAAAATCTGCCCTATCTAGGATGTAGAATTGTTATGAAGATCAAAGAAGAAAAAGTGTGGAAGCTTTAACTTTTTAAAGTCCTACATATATGTTAGGTGGTACTAATGGAGTAGTTATGAACCTCATGCCAATACAAGCCTGTTTGTATTTCGTTCTTCTCACCAACTTGAGCAGAAGCAAATGGAGCACATGAAACTTGGTTAGCTGTATGTTTGCTGACATGGTTTCCCAACTTGACAATAGCATTGACTATGGCTGACAGTGAAACAGCACGTATAAAACTAAGACCATGTCCTTACCCTCAAAAATAAGAGTCTGGTAAAGGTGGAATAAAATAAATAAAAGATTACACTTAATATCTTTCTCCAACTCTGGATGGTCTAGACCAGTGTTTCTCAAAGTCAACAGCTCTGACTTTGGATCATCTGCTCTGATGCTAACTAATGGTATATTAAAATATAGCTCTCCAAGCCTAACCCCAGATTCAGATTCAGGTAATGAGAATGTCTGGGTTTGGTCCAGAAACCACTGTGTTAAACAAATACTTTAGGTGATTCTAAGAAAGCACTGATCTAGAAGGTGGTCCACAGATCAGCCACAAGAAAGGGAGAGAGATGCAATGCCTCCTAGTACTGGAATCCACCAGTCTATAAAAATCTAGTCTATGTGATGTTTGTAGCTATTGTGTCCCTGTCACGAGAATCCCTCTGCTCAAATTGTATAATCAAGAGGGAGGCACAGTCTGTTCTTCTTCAACATTACTATGGAAGTCTTTGGTGCTGTTTCCCAATTATTTCCAACTTTTCCCTTCTGAACTCTTCCCTTTGAAAGAAGATGTGAACATATGACACAGATCACCCAGAAGAATGTTGAGTAGACATGACGTAATTTTGGAGGGAAACATGTAAGACCCAGTGAATGATCTGCCATGTTGCCTTCCCAATGCTGCAGAGATCATGGAAATTCCTGACAAGATGAAGCCTCCTGGATCTGGGTTCCTGGGGAACTCTGATCAGCCTCTGCTCACACTCACGCAGTGTGAGTGAAAAATAAACTTTTGCTTAGTTAAGCCACTGAGACTGTGCAGGAGGTGGGTGGATGGGGGGTTGCTACTACAGTACACCTTAGTCCTGCCTAAGTAGTAAATATACAGATGAGAATTCACAACCCAATAAAATAGTCACAAATTAAGCCACTTTATTGTGCTATGACTGCTGATGGGTGGAAAACCTATGAGGAGAACCAAAATTAAGACAGACATATAAAGCAAACATCTTAATGGTTCTAAAAGAAAGTAGTCACAACTCATTGAATGCATGTATTTTGAACACATTCATTCGATTAGTATATTCCAATGAATATATTTAATATACACCTCTCACTATAAATGTAACATTAAATCCACTTCTTTTTTTTTTAAAGAATTATCCCGGTAACATCCTCACTGCCCCCAAAGCTTTGTAATAAACAGAAAATATCAAATGTCTTTAAATTCACAGCAGAGATAAATTTCCCTCCAACCTCATGTTGAAGATAAAATTTGTGTTTGGTAAAACTGTTTAGCACTGTACAGGAAAAACAAATAAAATTTCCTGAAATAGTCTTCTATGAAGGGACCATACCGTTCAAAATAAATAAAGGTTGAAACTGATGTTTTCACTTGCAAATAGAGCACTGCTCAACCCCTGGGGACACTGGCTGGGATTCCTTGTTCTGCACTGATTTTTCACTTCTGCCTCCACTGATGTGAGCACTGGCATCAAGCAGACATCCTGCAGGCCTGACCAAGCAGCCCTGCCAGTTTGACGCCTGCAGAGCTCAGATTTCCTGTGTGATAAATGGCTTTTTTCAGTGGCTGTTAGCTCTGACTGCTGTCCTGCCCCGGTGACTGGGCAGGTACTGCCAATGGGAACTCCCCAGGTGGAGCCTTTCAATGTGGGTCTGGGATACTGAGGGGGACAGAGACTGGAGAGTTAATGCTTGGAAAAGTTATTTCCAAATGGAAGCTGGGAGTTTCCTGGCTGACTAGCCAAACAGCTGTGTGAAAACAGAAGGGATGTCAGCATTATGAATGAAAATGTGAAATAACCTTTGTGACCCGATTTGCAGGTCTCCTTCCAGACACAACTGAACTCAATAAATGGGTGCTGAGTGACCAAGAGAGGCATGTAGTCCTAGCCCCAGCTGTGACTGTGATCAGCTGTGCTGACCTTGTTTAAGTCAGCCCTCTGGGCCTCCATTCCCTCACCAGGAGAATACCAGTCATTTTAATAAATGACCCCAGAAACTAGGTGTTCTCTATTTTTAGCACAAAGGTGAAGACGGTATTTGTTGGTAGGGGTGGGGGCTAAGTGGAATAAGGGTTTCACTTCCCAGGAAACCATATTGGCCAGTGAGGGGCTGTTGACATCTGACATGTTGACCAGTGTTCTTGTATAGAACTAATATTCTTTGGGATCACATATGGAGTTTCAAGGACTGCAGTGAGGATAGGTTGCACCTGTGTATTCTTTCTGTCCCTGATAATCAACTGACATCTCTCTCCCTTTGCCTCTGCTCAGTTGCCCCAATCGTAAGGTTTGGGTCAGCACAGCTTACCTCTAGAATCATGGTGACTTCTGAGCCAGAACCACTTCAAGGATTTAGGTATGTTTTGGGCTAGGCCAGTAGAATCTACTTTACTTTGGGATTTCCCAGAGCCATTCAAAGCTTACCCTAGAATGAATTCAAACTCTGAGAGGACATATCCTCTCCACCGCCCCCACCTCCCCCTTTTTTTTGAGGAAAATTAAAAAAGAGTTTTTGAAGCCTAATGATTATCAGGGGTATGAGAAGTGTGTGTGTGTGTGTGTGTGCACGCGCGCGCGTGCGTGTCGTGTCCCCACAGTATGGTAGCTTGAGTGAGTGGAGGGATGGTATGGGGTGGGGGCACGGAGGAAGGGAGATGGGAGAAGCACAGGAGGCACAACCAAAGGAATTCAGATGGTACTGATTTTCCAGACTCTCTGATGTCTGGCAGGAAAGCCTGCCAATACTGAGGAGGCCTCTAAGGTTATGAAGTGGATGGGCTGTTGAATTTTCATCTTATTTTCAGAACTATCCCAGGGGAAATTTTTCTCCTGCCCCTCGGTACATACTGATATCCTTCGGAAGGACTTGAACTCAAGGTAGGTGAGATGCTCGGACAGCTCTTCTGGTTCCAGATGGTCAAAGAGCAGGGAGACTTTCCGTTTCTTGCTGGTGTTTGATTTTATCCGTTGAGTAAGTTTCCTGGACCAGTCACGGGCATTGCTTTTGTGGGTAAAGGTGAAAGGGAAAAAACAGGGAAAATGAATAAATTGCTTCTTGCCAGTAAATCCATTAACATTTCTCACAAGAATATACAAAATGCCATTAGCTGACTTTCCTTGACCAAAAGAGTGCATTCATAGAGTTTCTCATTATCACTTTTTTCCATGGCAGCAACCAAGAGGTCTTGCCAGCTTTCAATGAGCCTTTTAAATGTACAGTGGGGTACAGGATAAATGAGTTTTACTTTCAGGCAGTAGGAAGGAAAGAGTCTGAGGTATCGGTCAGTTTCCTTGCTTTTGGTCCCGGCTGCTTTGTGTGTCTTCTGGTGTGCCTGCTCCCTCCATTCCGCTTGTGTGTTCCTTCATTTGCATGTGAATGATAGGGACTCTATCTGGTTGGAAATCCCAAGGTTAGTGAGACAGTTTTCATGCCAGGAAGAAAGCTCAAAGAACCACAGAGAGAAGATGTCGTAAAGGTAGAGGGAATCACCTGTACAAACATGTGGTCACTTTTGGCAGAGTTGTGTCATTTTCCTCAAATGTCCCCTCAGCTACTGAAATGACCAAGGAAGCCTAGCTGACCCTAGAGTCTTCTCTGCCCCCGTATTTTCTTGTAAGCAATCCGTGTGTTTCTTATTCAATTTCCTTCACCAAACAAGCAAAGGGAAGCAGTGCCGTTTTGAAAGACAGCAGGTTGCCTGTCTTTTCCAAACTGGTATTCCTGGGAACTTTGTCTCTTGATAAAAGCATGCTGTGGTCAATGAGCTTGGGAAGTGCTATCAATTCTGTAGCCTCTTTGGCCACTGAGCATATTATACACTCCAAAAAGCACTGCAAAGGTAACGTTTAACCCATTATTCCTCAATTATATCTGGACAAATGATATCTCACAGACTAAAAATTCCCACAGAATATACTGTTGAAAATTTTCACCAAGAAAAGTCAGCTAGGAAATACTGGGACAAGGAGACCTGGGGTTGAGAAGTGCCCTGGGCTCTAATTTCATCTTTAAAATGAAGAAACTATTACTTCGAATAATCTCTTACCTTTCAAGTTATGTAATTCTAAGCAGGGAAGTAGAGAGAATCCAAACTGATAAACAGACTTACTTGGGGCTCTGGAATGCGATCTTGAAGTCACTTCTGCATGGCTATAGTGCACCATGCACAGGGCCTCAGAGGCTAGCTACTGCTCTGTCACCAGCTTAACTAGCTGGACCCCAGATGAGTCACCTTCTTGCTGAGCCTCAATTTCCCAGTCAGAAAAATTAGGATGTTGGATGAAATGATCTCTAGAATATATGTATCAGTTCCAGAATTCTATTTCTTAGGGATTAGGACTGTTTAAAAATAAAGCAGCCACACTGTGAAAACCTTAGCATACAGAATGCATGATTCCCCTCCCGCTAATTAGGAAAGGCACTCATTTTCCCAAAATGGGTCAGTCTTATAAATATGAACTCCAAGGAATGAGTTAAAACATTCCTGGGATCCCATCCAGCTCTGGAAATCTAAGTGTCTTTTACAGACATTCATGTATGTTATAAGCCCTCTCCTGAATACATTTTTTAGCAGTCCCGTCCCCATTTACAAGTTCAGGGGTGCCTCCTGGCATTAAGCGTGAGTTCCGTCATTTGCACTTTCAGTTTCTCATGATCTGGATTAATTTTAGTCAATATCTTGCTGACTGATTTCTTTCTGACTGGGACTTTTTCTGCTCTTGCATATAAGTCACCAACCACTTCATCACCATGAGGCGCCTCTGCTTTTCTGTTAAATGCCAAGCTTTCACTTTGGTGAGGCAATTTGAACCTGCCTAGTTGAGGGGCTTTTCAGAGTGGTGAAAGAGAACGGCAGTCACCGCGGGGGGTCAGAAACATAGCAAGCAGCTGGGATTATATTACAGGAGGGAGGTGGTTTTGAAAGGTAAGTCAAAACCTTGACACTCACATTTGAGTTGTGTCAATCAGGTGGCAGTGTAACTCCTCACCCTTAGCTTTCACCAGTTCCTGAAACTCCTCCATAGTGTCTGTCAAGCTGGCATCCATTTTAAACATGACCCAGAATTCTGTTATCCAATACCTACAAGGAGGGGATTAAAAAACACAATCCAAAACTGACACCAAGGACTCACGATTTGGTGGGTCCCCAAAGGAATTTACTGCCACAAAGATAACTCAGAAAAAGACAAAGTCTAATTTGTCTATTAGTACATTGAAGGAGCTGGGGTGGGAGCAGGGAGGGAAGAAACCCCATCGATTGGAAATCTTCTTTCCCTCCACATAAAATGGATAAGGCATATCATAATCAAAGGAGCATGATAAAGATTCAGGCACAATCATGTGGGTCAGAGATAATGATAAAGGAGAGAACTATAGATAAACCAAATGTCCAAAATGAGGCAGTCTATTCATAGGTTATGCTTTATATTAGACTATTACATCGCTATTAAAAATGATGTTTACAAAAAGTCTTTAATGACTAGAGAAGATTCTCATGCTATAAAGTTAAGTGAAAATTTTGGGTATCAAGCCTTATATATATTTTCATCTCAAAAAATTGGCATGAAAACAAGACAAAGGAAATACACCAAAATGGGTAACTGGACATGAATGATCATTATTATAGTTATATTATTTTCTGCATTTTAAAAAGTGTTCTATAATGAGCTATATTACTTGTATAATTAAGAATAAAAATAAAGTAACAAAGAGATCATTCATTATTTCTGTATTCCCTCCTTTATGTCATTTGATACCAAAGACTGAAAAAAGGTTGGTAGAAAATAATTAAGCTCAGGTACACCAGAGAAAATTCGCTGTGTTGTGTTGAGGAATTTCCAGTATTAAGGACTACCCTTTTCTGTCTGTCCAAAGGTGTTCTGCAGCCATCAGGAAAAAAAAAGCAGGGAAAGTCCCTTGCTTCACCTTTCATTTCACCTTGCTCCACAAAGTCTTGAAACACACAGGGAAACATTACCTTACAAAATAGCAGATCTTCAGGCAAAGTCCTGGTGAATTCTTTGCCAAAGCATCCTTATAGGTAGGGCTGTGGTTAAGGGAAATGGAGACCTCTGTTACAGAAACCAAACGACTTTTCATCTTTGCAAGTATTTGCTGCAACTACCTCCCAAAATATTTTTTCTAAAAACTGAAAATGTGATGCTTTATCTTTCTGGCCAAAGGATAAAAACCAACTTGATATGTAGAGCTGTATGCATATTATCACCTAGAAGGGGGATGACGGTGATTTCCTCTCCAGCCCATGTCGACCTGGCTTATGGAAGGAGCCAGCAGCATTGCAGAACTAAGAAGTTAATCGTTTGCTAATGCGGAGGAAGGCAGCAAAGCACATTGCCATGTATGTGCCTATGCAACAATCCTGCATGTTCTTCACATGTACCCCAAAACCTAAAATGCAATAAAATACATATTTTTTAAAAAAGTTAATCATGTAAACAGGTCCCAGGACAAGTGACTTATAAAAAGTGAAGATGGGGCAAATGACCCCTTGCCTGTGCCCAAAAGACTAGAAGCCCAACTGAAAGAAGTTTTTTAAAAAAGCAGCCCCTATGAAGGAAAAACGAAGCAGGAAAAAAAAAAAAAAAGCAGCCCCATTTACCTTTTAAAATGTTTCTCATACCTGATACACATGCATGCAGTGAATAAGAAGAGGAAGAAATATATATGTGGATATGTCATGATAATGAAGAACAATAATATGAAAGTGACAATATATCCACCTAGAGGATGTCAGTAGACTGACCTAATAAATTGTAATGACAAGTCGGACAAACCATATGAATAATCTAAAATACAACTGGACATCACCTCAAGGATCCTTTTCATTCTGAACATTCCAAGAATATGAAAGAACAGCAAGATCTCACCAAGTTCACGTCTTTAAAGATAAATGGAAAAAAAATAATTCATTTATTTGAAGAGTCAAAGAAATGAGAACTCCAGTGATGAGCCTGAGTAAGTCCTGCTGTTTCCCATCAACAGACGGTGGCATCAGGCGATGCAGGCTGTGTGCCTGTAAAGGTCATGCCTTCTTTTCCTTCTAAAAACTGTGGATAATGACTCCAACATAGGGTTCAGTGAATTCCAGCTGGGCTCGTGAGAGGAATCCAGTGAACAACCCAGCAAAAATCTTAATTAACTGGGACAGGAGTGGTCTTCCTTCTGTGGGTGTATATATTTTAACCTTTGGAAAATTTAGAGTTAAATATAGAAAAGTAAAAGACAGTAAAAATCACAGTACTGATCTTTTTTGTTAGGAAGGAATCATTTTGTGCATTTTGAAATTGTATATGCTTGTAATGTTTAAAAGCCCATTAGAATGATGGCCTTGAAACTTCAATTTGCAATATAACTAAGTGCTTTAGACTTGTGGTTTTAAATTGAAAACTTATTAAGTTTATGCATAGCTTTGGAACATCCAAGATAATGTTAGCTTTACTGTTTATAAATTTAATCTATTAGAGTTATTAAAAAACTATTTAGAATTCAGGGAGGTCTCTGAAGCACTTAAAAATTAAGATATAAAATGCAGAATTGTAGTTTAAAACCATTGGAAATATTTAATTAACATTATTCAAATTAACCAAACATTTTTCAAGGTCCCTTAAAAATGTTTGCTGAAACATGCTACACTTACAGAAACAGTAAGATTTGTAAGCTAATCTTGAAGCCCTAAACAAGAACTATGGTTATAAAATTTGTAATTTTAATAAAATGACTTCTAGTTTTAAAAATCAGATTTTAACACATTGACTGCCTATAAAATCTGTCCTTTCGATCAGAGCACCAAAACAAAACAAAAAGCCACAAAACCCTACATATCAACCAAAGTAATTGACATAAAAATAAGGGCAGACAACTGGCAAACTTCAGGAAGTAGACAGTTTTTCTGCCTGCCTTTCTTTGGGTGGAAAGGGAGAAGTGAGAATGAGAGGGCTTTATGTTTCTTTATGCCATGCCACTAAAACAATGCATCACTTCGATGCAAAGAGATTCAGGCATAAGGCACATAGATAAATACCTCTCAGATTTTATATTTTTATCATTTGTTCTACTTGTTGAAATTTTTATTCTTTTATTTTAAAAGGGAAGGCACGAAAACCACACTTCTGTTTTAAAGCTAAGTAGATACATCAAATCAACATCAAATCAATCACCTTCTCCCAGTGGCTCCTTATCCTTCCCTTCAAAAGTATATTCTGACATTGCACGTTGGCTGCATGTAGCACAGCATCAATGGTGTAAATCCAGGCAGTCCACACATACGTGCTAAGCCTTGGGACCATTCAGAATGCCATTCAGAGGTCCTCAGAGCCCCTATGCCATGGTGGCAAAGGCTGCCCCCACAGGGAGGCAGGGCACCCACTTTCTCACTTCATTTGGGAACTGAAACAAACACCAGCACATGCAGGCTAAGTAGTAAGAGGCTGAGACGTCTGCTGATCTTGGTAAACTTCAGTGTTTGCTGGAACCCTCAGACCCCATACCTTTTTCTTCTCTTCATAGCTAGTACTGTGGTTACAAAGTACCAGTATAGTTCTGACTGTACTTTTCAGGCATCTAAACTATTCAAAGCATGTTTTCAAATGTATCCCTCCCTTCTTTTAACAATGGCAAACAGGAGACCATCTGAGCTTAAATTCTATTACTTCCAGGTCAGAGAACAGGGAAACCAAGCGTAAAGAAAGAAAATAATTTTGCCTTCAATGTTTAACCCGGCTTTCCATTACAGGAGTATTATGTCATACTCTCAGAATCCCTTTCCACTACCCCAGGTTACATCTTCACCTGGGCAAAGCCCAGATATCACACATAAAAGTTCTTGTAAATATAAAAAAGTACCCCAATGTGTTGCAGCCATAGTAATGCAACATTTATTGTGTTCTACCATGAAACAGCCACTAAGCTAAGTTCTAGATACAAAGATAAACAAACCTTGCTCCCTGCCCTTGAAAGACACAGACTCTAGCTGGGGAGATGACACACAAATAGGTAAGTTACAATAGAGCACATGTACTTTTAAAATACAAAAATATATTTGTATCTTTAAGTAACTTGTAATGCAATCAATTTCTCAGTACCCCTGCAATCTTTTATATTATTATCCAAATTCAAATCACAGCAGCTAGACACAAAGGTTCTGTAGTTTACCTGAGACGGTCATCTACAGAGACCAGAGTACACAGGCATTACATTGCAGAACTTAAGGACTGATGCTTATGTAGATATATTTATTTAGCTGGCAGAATAAAAACACTTCACATTTTCTGCGAGTTTTTCATTGCAGACTATATCCAGGCCGGAGATATGAGAAACACACTTTGACTTCAGCAATACAAAACTATAATCAAAGGAATTAAATAGATTTTCAATCAAGAATACTATTTAAAAATACTAGAAGTATTTTTAAAAGAGGAGAAGGGCTGTAGAAGTCAGGAAAAGCTTCCCAGAAGGATCCTGAAAGAGTTTGCTAACCAAAGAGGGGAGAACGGCTTTCAAGACCAGGAATTATAAGAGGCCCCGTTACATCCAGTGTGTTGAGAAGTTCAGTGTGGAGGGGAAAGGGTTTCTCAGAGAGCTACAGAATGAAGCAGGAAAAACTCACTGGGGACAGACTGAGGACGCCCTTTTCTTGGCAAGCCAAGGAGCTGACAATAACTCTGTAGTCTGCAGAGGCTCAGAAGCAATGGCCTGCCCAGTTTGCCTTGTAGTAAAGAATTTCAAGGGCAGCTATCACGAGGCAGGGTAGGGAACTATGTAGATATAATGACTGGCATGGGACAGTGGTCCAGGAGAGGACCATGAACTAAGGCATGGCATGGGAATGGAGAGCAGAGACCAGACAAGACTCATTTCTGAAGTAGAAACCCTGGGATCAGGTGACAGACTCTGTAGGAGGTGACAGGCAGGGGAGAAGTCAAGAGTGCTTCTGATGTTACTGGTTTAGGCAAGAATAGATATTAACACTATTAACTGAAGTTGAACATGAAAATACAGTCATGTGCTGCATAACATGCTGGTGGGTGATGGACCACATACATGACAGTGGTCCCATAAGACGACAATGAAGCTGAAAGATTCCTAATGCCAGGTCATGTCTTGATGATCCTGACCCAACACAGGCCTAGGCTGCTGTATGTGTTTGTGTCTTAGATTTTAACAACAAAGTTTAAAAAGAAAATAAACAAAAATTAAACATTTTTAAAACAGAAAAAAAAGCTTATAGAATATAAAGAAAATATTTTTGCAGAGCTGTCCACTGTGTAGTCAAAAAGTTTTAAAAATTAAGAAGTTTATAAAAGAAAGTCAGAGTAAGCTAATTTATTACTGAAGAAAGAAAAATACTTTTTATCAATTTAGAACAGCCTAAGTATACAGTGTGTATAAAGTCTACAGTGTGTACAGCAATGTCCTACGCCATCACATTCCCTCACCACTCACCCCTGACTACCCAGAGCAACTTCTAGTCCTGCAGGCTCCACTCACAGTAAGTGCCCTACACAGGTGTGCCATTTTTTACTTTTTTATACCATATTTTTACTGTACTTTTTCTTTTTTTTTTTTTTGAGTCGGAGTTTCGCTCTTGTTACCCAGGCTGGAGTGCAATGGCGCAATCTCGGCTCACCGCAACCTCCGCCTCCTGGGTTCAGGCAATTCTCCTGCCTCAACCTCCTCAGTAGCTGGGATTACAGGCACACGCCATCACGCCCAGCTAATTTTTTGTATTTTTAGTAGAGACAGGGTTTCACCATTTTGACCAGGTGGTCTCGATCTCTTGACCTCGTGATCCACCCGCCTCGGCCTCCCAAAGTGCTGGGATTACAGGCGTGAGCCACCGCGCCTGGCCTACTGTACTTTTTCTATGTTGAGATACATAAATACATACCATGGTGCTATGATTGCCTACAGTATGCAGTACAGTAACCTGCTGTACAGGTTTGTAGCCTAGGAGCAATAGGCCGTACCATCTGGCCTGGGTGTGTGGCAGCCTATGCCGTCTAGGTTTGTGGAAGTACACTCTATGGTGTTTGCATAATGACAAAATCGACCTATGATGTACTTCTCAGAATGTATCCTAGTTAGCCAAAACATGGTTGTACTGGTGTCAAAGCAGAATTAATGAGGTAGTGGCTGGGGGTGGGGACAGTGAGTTAATGATCATATTAAAGCCTTAAGTGTCCACAGGACAAACTGGTATAAACCTAAGAAAAACAGTTTAGGTTAGATGGCTAGGCGCAGTGGCTCATGCCTGTAATGCCAGCACTTTGGGAGGCTGAGGTGGGAGGATCAATTGATGCCAGGAGTTTGAGACCAGACCAGGCAATATAGTCAGACCCTCTCTCCCCACACCAATCTCCAAAAAAAAAAAAAAAAAAGGAAAGGTTTAAGTCAGAGAAATGAGACCTGAAAGTCACCATCAGCATAGAAGAATGGTAGAAACAGTGGTAGAAATTCTGGGGCAAAGTCACCCACAGAAAGGAAGCTGAGTGAGAGGAAAACCAGAACATCACCACCAGATGTAAGAAGAGCTCAAAGAAGCCTCTGGATGAAAAGCTGGACAAGGCACAACCCAAGAGGAAGGAAAGCCAGGAGGGTGCAGTTCTGGGAACCCTGGAGGGAGAGCTGCGAGGACAGTGGGGTTGTCAGCCACACCCAATGCTTCTGGGAGGTCAGTGGAAATAAGGATGAGAAAAACTCATTGGGCTTTTCAATTAGGAGGTTACTAATGTCATCAGAGGAAAGTTAGAATACTGGGGGCCAACTTAACACAGTTATGAAGCAGGCAGGAGTAAAGAGTTTGGAGACAGTGACTACAGACTATTTTAAGATGCTTTCACATCAAATTTTTAACCTGAACAATGGAATGAAGGGGAGGCAGGGCTAGGAGTTGATTTTTAGATGAGGAGACTTGAATGTGTTTTAGGCTGAGGGGCAGATGCCATTGAAGAGGTAGAGTCTGAAAGTACAGGAGACATGACAGCTGGTAGAGAAAGATTCTGTGAGAAGTACGAGGAATCATGGGAAAAGGAGAGGGGTTCTGCCCCACTGTGTAGGCACCCAGTAGTGCACTAAGGCAGGAACCCCAAGGTGTAATTTTATTTTATTTTTTTAGAGACAGAGTCTCACTTCAGCTCACTGCAACCTCCACTTCCCAGGTTCAAGTGATTCTCCTGCCTCAGTCTCATGAGTAGCTGGAATTACAGGCATGTGTCACCACACCCAGCTAATTTTCTTTTTTAATTTTAATTTTTATTTTTTTATTTTTTTTTTAAAGATGGGGTTTCACCATATTGGTCAAGCTGGTCTTGAACTCCTGACCTCAGGTGATCCGCCCGCCTCAGCCTCCCAAAGAGCTAGGATTATAGGCGTGAGCCACCGCGCCCGGCTTCTTTTTGTGTTTTTTAAGACAGGGTTTCACCATGCTGGTCAAGCTGGTCTTGAACTCCCGACCTCAGGTGATCCACCCGCCTTGGCCTCCAAAGTGCTTGGATTACAGGCGTGAGCCACTAATTTTCATATTTTTAGTAGAGAAGGAGTTTCACCATGTTTGCCAGACTGGTCTTGAACTCTTGACCTCAAGTGATCTGCCTGCTTTGGCTTCCCACAGTGCTCAGATTATAGGTGTGCGCCACCATGCTCAGCCACCCCAGGTACAATTTAGTCCCTAGGCCAACAAACAAGTTTTTAGGGAGGAATATTTAATCACTGACATTGTTTACAATCACTGGTACATCAAGTCAATAAAAAGCAGACGCTGAGTTGGTTTCATGAAGGTTTAAAATTCTCTGCAGATGAGGCACCCACTTACTACCTGCACCTGTTATTTATATGCACTTCTCCCAGTGCTCCACCCTTGGTATGCTACTGAAAAACACCTCCTTTCAAATGAGAGGTAAAGATTCATGAGTAGGTACAGAGAAGGGATTCAGTCCTGACGATTTTTCTTCTCTCTGTGTGCTATAAGATGAAATGCAGGGAGTTAAGAGAGTGGGAAAGTATTAGAGCAGCTGCAAGTCATCGCTCAGTACCAGGGACCTGCACCTTGGGTGCTAAACGGTCTCACTCCACCTACAACTCCTCTTTTGTGGGGGCTGCTGCTTATAGTGTCATCAGAGAGAAGAAGAAAGCAGGCACTTTCTTCACCCTACTTGATTCACACCCCATTATAAGGTTAAAATCCAGTAGGTTTTGCATGGCATATAGCCAATCCTCCTGCCTGAAGCAATAAGGCACAAGCAGATTCTCCAGACGCTGCGCCTGCAATCTTCCTTCAGAAACTGGAGAAAGTTGAAGTATTGGACAAGAAAGCCAGAAAGAAATTTTTCCTTGAGTCATACTTGCACCTTTGTCAATTTGCACAGGATGAATATCTATTTTGACCACTCTACAGAAAAAAAGTATTTTTTACTTTTAAAAGACTGAAGAAGATTGTGCTGGCATGCTGATTTCTTTGACCACCCCCCAGAGCAATCAGCATCAATAACATTGCCCCTCCCAACAGAGGATACATGAATACACCACCAACACAGGCACCCATACCCCTGAAAGGACATATGAAGCTATTTACCACTCAGGGTTATTCCGAACCAATAAAAATAAAAGCACACTTCAAATTTCAAGCTGCTTGTTTAGTGGCTCCCATTTTGGGATTGCCGGTCACTATGTAAAAGGATATAGGGTGATAACTTTTTGGAGCAGTTCTGCGGAGGAGATGATAATTCGGTGCATGGTCAGCATGACTTGCAACAGTTGGTTACTTCGACACAGGTTTCCATCTGCATCTGAAAATATAGAGAGCAGCACATGAGTTAGGCCCTGGAGAGAAATGAGTCACCTGCAGACACCAAACCCTCCATGACTCAGGGGCAATCCTTCAAGCACAGTGCTTTTCTCCCACTGTCCCTAGCACCATTCTCCCCATGCAGAATGTCCATTCTGATGCTCATTAGTGACCCCTCTCCACAGTGGTAAAACCAGGAAAGGGATAAAATCTGCATCAGCACACTTGAGTCCCACTGAAAGCAGAAGCAGATCCAGGTTTTGTGGGGCCTAAAGTTATATAACTCTCATACAACTGGTGAGGGAGAGACCTCCCTAGGGTCAGAGTGAAAAAGTTGGTTTTTAATAGATTGCAGTTAAAATATCTTATCTTTACAAATTTTACAAAAACATAGGACCATATGAATACATTTCCAGGACCCAACCATGGCCTTGAAAGGGGCTCATGCAAGTGGGGGCCCTGAAATACTTGCATCTCCAGTTGTGTGGTTAACATTCCTCTGGATGGAATAAGGAAGACTATGGGCAAACATTACATTTTCAGGTTGCAAGTGGATTACAAGTACTCATGATGACTTGTACTAAAGAACACGGTTAGCTAGGTTTTCCAAATCCCAGCTGGCACCAAATAAGATGCATTTATACACTGGCATTGGGTAAAAAGATTCTCCTTGGAGAGGTTTTCAAAATCTTTTCAACATTTTTGGCATGAAATGTTAGGAGCTGTGCTGGCTATTCACTGCCAGATCAATTCTTTCACCATGAAAAATATCTGCCCACTCACTTGCCAGCCGGCTTCCAGTTGGCCTTAGCCATTGGGAAGCACCAGCAAGAGATGGGAGTGGAGGGAAGTCAGGATATTGCTTTTTCATTCCCTCTCTGCACTGACACCACTCCCCTGATAGTGACTACATATCCCTTCAATGAATGACCATGCTGCTTGGTCCTCCCTTCATGGCACCAGCTCTCATTGGATCTAACACTATTAATCTCCTTTGACACGGTGGCCCCAAGGTGGGTAATGACTCCTGACTGTTGATAGTTTCATCTCTTAATTCCACTCTGATCTCTGTAAGCAGTCCCTTCATGACAGTGTCTTCATTTATATAAGCTGAATTCTGTTCCAGACTGGAATTACTCAGGATAAGAGCATCAAATGAAAGAAATACAGGAACTGTTTTGTCATCTGAATTGCTCTTGAAAATACATTAAAGGGGTAATCATGTCCATTCTGCTTCAAGTGTACCAAATGGTATGAAGAACACAGTGATTTTGGGCTCAGGATTCAGAAGTCTTGGCTCCTCAAATGATGACCTGAAGTCAGAGCTCATTGAGAAAATACAAGTGGCTGGGCACAGTGGCTTACACTTATAATCCCAGTGCTTTGGGAGGTCCAGATGGGAGTATCGCTTGAGGCCAGGAGTTTGAGGCTGCAGTGAGCTATGATCACACCACTGCACTCCAGCCTGGGCAACAGCGTGACGCCATCTTAAGAATTACTCTCTCTCTCTCTCACTCTCTCTCTCTCTCTCTC